TGTCAGCCCCACCGTCTGTATTCAGCAGTTTCAAAATATTACAAATTAGTAGTATTATTTTTCGTTTTCTCCGTTCGTTTCGAGGCTCCTATCTTTGGAGTTGTAGAGGGCAAGCGTTTTATATTTTGGAGGCAGACCACGTGCTTCTTAATAAAACAACATTCTCATTGAAGGTGCGTATATCCGTCCATAGTGATGGTGAATACGAGTTTGAGTGATCGGCAATCCCAGTATAAATTTACTTTGGGACAGGGCTCACTATAAACGAAAATTATGTCTATCATGTGAACCATTAGCACCCGTGGCTGTGTAGTGGATTAGAAACGTGTCCACGACCCAGTTTTGAATACAGATTAAGGTACCGATGAGACAAGACGATGTTGAAACTGCAGTATATTCCGGATTATGAAACCTTTTTCAGAGGCTATGTTAAAGTAAAATTAAATGGGATTAAATAAGTCCTCAGTTCATTGAGGGAAATAATAATAAGTTTTTATTTCACTAAATTTGAGGAGGATTGTAAAGGCTACATTTGGTGGTTTATTCCAGTCTCGAAACCCTACTTTAATACGAATATTCCAATCTTGTTTAGTTTTGGCAAGCATTCTTTTTTGACTGCAGAACATGAAAATGTTCGCCAAAATTAGTTCTATGATTTCCTCAAGCTCTTAATACGACGTTAATAAGGCCCTCCTTTCTTATACGAAAAACAATATATCCTGCCAAATAATTAAAAAAAACAAATAAGTTACCAACATTAATTCGGGACTGTCACCGATTTCATCGTTTGTTTACTTCCTGCCACAAGGAAGATAGTAAATTTTAAAGCAACTTGGTCATATTAGTAGAAAGACTTAGAGGAACACAAATAGTCCGGAAATTATAGCATGTATGACAATTTTCAGAGTCGGACCGTAGACCTGGTACATTCACAGACCTTTCCCAGGCATCGTCAGTGAGGATTGTCATTCTTAGCACCACAATACAACTCGTCAGAGACAAATGAAGCCGATCCTTTGACTCATTGTCTCCTAAACAATCGTGGTATCTCTTATTCCCCCCTGGACTAATCAGTAATCCTATATCCCTCTACCACGCCTTCACTATCACAATTCTTTCACCTTGTTTATTTTAATGTAGTTTAGTGTGCCCTTTTGAGTGGCTTTCATTAGCACTCTTCGCACTCCACGCTGGCTTTTTATCCCCACCTCACTCTTCTGCTGGGAATGTTGATCAGTATGCCCTATTATTATGCAGTCCGCCCTCCATTGGTCTTGCCAGAGTCTCCCGTTTGCCCAGTAGGATCCGTTTGCTTTCGATCTGGTTCAAGTATTTAGCTCGACCCCTCCAAAACGCTTATGGAAGGATTTATGCTGTCAAAGTAAGATTAAAAACCGCGAAGGCTTCCCTTGATCTGACTTGCCGCATAAAGTATGTTTGTATAACCCGAAATATCAGCTTCAGATCAATTTAAAGTAAATATAGGTCGA